TCATTATAATTAAATAAGATAATTTGTCCGTGATTTGGTGCACATAGTAAGTACTCAATAAACGCTGACTATTGTTCACATTGATAACAAGAATAAGAGCACATTGTTGCGATTGGTCCAACATCCCACTCACTGTCTAGATTCTCCTGGTCCAGCCGCCCTGACTAGCCGCCATCCTCCTGGCAGGATGCTCTGGGGCTGTGGGGTTGATCATAGCCGGAGGAGCCGAGTTACGCCCACGGGCATCAACACGTGTTAGAAAGTTTACCTCCATACGGAGCTTAATTCTACCTCTCTGAAGTCTTTCCAGCACACACATACACACACTCATGCCTGAAATATTTGTCAAGCACTGACTGTGTTCTAAGTATCAGGATACAAAATCAGACCCAGTCCCTGTGTTTATAGAATTTCTACTGTCCAGGCACATGAGTTGGTCAATTCTGAACTTTGTAAGACACTCCGATAAAAGCTTGAATTGGGCGAGGAACTGGCTGTTATCACCAGCCCACCGGAATCCTCTTTCCTCTTTCCCTTTCCCTCTGATCCGTCTGCACACTGCCGGCCTTGGTGAGCCACAGAACCAAGAATAAACTCTCTGCTGGGAAAACAGAAATAGTTCAACAGGTGTTGGGTGCCAGAAAGGAAACTGTTGCCTCTTTAGGCTGAGGTCAGAAGCCAGGTATCCTTGCAAGCACTGACCAGCCCATATGCCAATCATCAGAGGCCCAGAATAGAGGCAGAGCATGCAGTGCTCAGGTATTGGCACAGGTGACTAGAGAACTAAAGGAGCATTCAGCACGATAACATACATCCCTGCATGCACATATGCACAGGCAAGCACACGCATGTGCATGCTTACAGTGCTGCCCAGTTAAGAGTCTTTTAATGGCCTTATCTCTACATTTTTCCAATCAACGATTCAACCAAATACTTATTAAACTGCAACTGTGCCCAAGAGAGGAGATGACTAAAACACAGAAATCAATCAATAACTAAATAAGATACTGTTAACTCATGTCATCCCCAGAGATGGGACCGTGGAGAATTTGCTGTGGGCTGGAGACATCAGGAGAGGTTTTACAGAAAAGATGGAACTCGATCTGCACCTTAAGGATGAGTAAGACCAGACTTGGGATGTGTCATCGGTGGGTGGGATAGGAAAAATATGGAGGCTGGGATACACAAAACCCGCCCTGAGAATGATGAGGTGGCCTGGGATGCCATGGGAGATAAGGCTGGACAGGTGCGGAGTTTCAGCCGCCTGGATGAGCGCTTCGGACTTGGCTAGAAAGGTCTTAGGGAGTCACTGCGGGTTCTTAAGCAAGGGCGTTTGTGGGACATCAATGCCAGTGTGCCTGAAGTTGGGAGAAATTTGAGACTGGAACGTCAGTAGGGAGGCCTTTTTAAAAAATTGAAACAGTTGATTGTACATATCTGTGGGATACAGAGTTGAATATCAATACCTGTGTGCAACGTGTGATGCTCAAATCAGGATCATTAGTATATTCGACATTATACAGTGTAATATTTTTTGTGGCCCTTTACCATTTCCAGGGAGGCTTTTTTGATCCCTAAGACCTGAGGGGCTGAGGGCCTGAACTGAGGTGGTAGCAGGAGTGAAGGAGAGACCGGCATGGAGCAAAGGAGGTGCCGGTACCTGTCAGGGGGCACCTTCCTCTCACTTGGAATGACAAGTGGGTCTGAGCTGATCACGCTGTTTATGTCACAGGTGACAATGGCAAAGGGCGAAGTGGCCATGTGGAACTGGGAATTCGCTCCACTGCTCCCATCTGAGCATGCTTACCCCTCCGAAGAAATGACATAAGGGCACATTCACGGTTTGGTGGAAGGAGGAGAAAGGGGAGCTGTGCTCATGAGGACAGAGCAACTCTTTCTCTGCCAAAGAGGAATTCGCTCCACTGCTCCCATCTGAGCATGCTTACCCCTCCGAAGAAATGACATAAGGGCACATTCACGGTTTTGTGGAAGGAGGAGAAAGGGGAGCTGTGCTCATGAGGACAGAGCAACTCTTTCTCTGCCAAAGAGCAGATTCTGGCCTTGCTTTGGTTCTGTGTTTTCTTTTACATTTCATTAGAGCTCCAGGTTGAGCTTTTTGGATAGCCAATTGACAAGACACTATGACATGCCGGGGTAGAAAAGGAAGGAAAACGAATCAGAAGACAGGAGAATGAGCTACTGAAAAGTCAGAGAAAGCAAAGGACAGCATGTGTCAAGGCCCTGGGGTGGAAGGAGCTGCAGCCACCAAAGACACAGCAGCCCCTGTGTCCTGGCGGGGACAGTAGGGGAGAGGCTCCAGCTGCAGCTGGTGAGGTGGGGAAGGAGCAGGTCATGCCAGGCCTTGAAGGTGTGATAGGAAGAGTACTGGGAGGGGAGAAAGGCCACCAAAGGCAGAGGTCGCTTATTTCATAGCACATTTCCAATCTGAGGTGGATACAGAGAATGGAATATGCTTCTGATCAGGGGGTGGGG